TGGAAGATTCCTTTCTACTCCTACCCCTCTGTTCCTCTACTTCTTTAAGTGGTATGTGGCTTGTCTATCCTCATATTATAAAAAAGGTAAAATACAGAAAGTTAGAACACTTTTTGTGATATAATTCTCTGTTGTCACTTAGTAAGGATACACCAATAATGGTTGATTACTTACTGACATTATATATAAGTTTCAGTGGTACCTGCAAACTTGAGCTTGCAATTTACAAATCAGCTCTCACAGCTGAGGATGGGTTCCTAGCTGCTAATAGTGTTCTGGTTACCAGTGGATAACATTAAAGTTTGTCTAATGGATATGCTTTTTAACCCACAGAGGAAGATAGCCTAACAAGACTTATTGCAGCCAACAGGATTATGGAACACTGTTGTTTTTTTTTCAGGCTGTGCATTCAAAATTAAAATGATTATTTTTCTAAGATTTTATTACAGCACTAGTTATACAAATTAAAACAATATATTTCCATGAAATACTATCCATAGGTAAGCTATTCACAAGGTAAGAAGAAACTCTACCTGTTTTACGCACTATATTTTTTGTCTAATTGTTTTCGGAAATACCTCAGTGAGAACTTAGTAAAGGTAATATGATATCTGTTGCATCCTGTCTGTTAAATCCTTTAATACAGGGAAGCCCTAGGCTTGATGACTCCCTTTTTATCAAGTTACAGGGTTAGGAAGTGTATGTACACTTTGCAATTATTTAAGCAATTGTCATCACTGTCATTTTTGACACATTTGTTATTAATTTACACAATTGCTTTGTTCTTGCATATCTATGACTGAAATTAACTCCACAAATCCACAGAGATCTAGTAACGTCTCCTTTTTCTGCAGCTATGGTAAGTGTATTTTTCCTTGTTATGAAATAAAATAGAAGCATGAGGAACTTTATACAACTAACAATAATATTGCATGTAAAGGAACATTTATCATTGATTTTATCACTGAATCAGATAACTTCCACACAATTCACACATTTTCCACATCAGATTATATAAAGAAATATGTGTGAATATTGGGTAGAAGTCATGTGATTCTTGAGTGAAAACGTTGATAAATAGACCCCTAATATAATGTTTGTGTTTTTATGATAAGTTCTAAATACATAATTACATTGATGGATTTACTTTATTAAGATTGTGTCTAGAGCAATAATGCAATTGCAAAGTGAAATCATGCATAGCAGTCATACCATATTTCAGATTTTGACTATGTACAACTGTGAAAGACAATTGCAGAGTGGTTGCTAATGTCAATTATTATGTTGTCATATGGTATTTAACAATAAAAATCCATCTATCTATCTATCTATCTATCTATCTATCTATCTATCTATCTATCTATCTAACGATCAATGTATCCATTTGTATTTATATTTTAAACTATAATCAAACAGTGCAAAGTTCAATGGCTATATGAAATTAAAAATACAAGATAGCAACTAGTTATGTACCAATCTGACTACTGTAGATGGAGGTCTGATTGGTTGCCTTGGTTTACTGCACAATAAACAGTCCTATGTGATTTTTAAGATATGGGGTTCATTTGTAAAAAAAAAAGTGGAGTGTTCATAGTGACCAGCTAGGTTCCTTGTTTAATTCTATGGGTGAAATATTATTAGCCACTATGGCATGGTTTTCCAATTAACTGTGAAAAAAACAAGTACAAATGTCTTTATTAAAATTTTTAAAAGAATAATAGCTGCCATAGAAAATCATTTTTGCATTATGCTACTCAAAAGCATGACAGCATTCATAGAAAGCCTGTTAATGATAACTATTTACTCACTTAGAGCAAATGACAGGATATAAAATTTTCATTACTTTCATGTCACTGGGAAGCATTAACGTATGATATAATATGATATTGCAGATACCTTTCTATGAATTAGTTTAACTCTGAAAATACCAGACTGCAGCAAGCATGCTGGCACAGTAAAGAAAAATGCTGTACAATATGATTCCGTTTCTCAATTGAGAAGTATGATATTTATGCGAAAACGTAACTAGTCAAATAAAAAGCCCTCAATAACTAAGTAAATAATGCAGAGGTACCCTAAAGTAAAAAGCTACCGTAGTAGCATATTAGGTTCTTGAATACAGATAATTCACATTAACTGGGCTAGATTTTCTGAAAAAAGCTCACCATCTTTATGATGCGAAGAATGTTCTGTTAGAGAATAAGCTGGGTAATCTTTTCATAGCTGAATGTGAGGATAGTAAATGTGAGGTTAGTTCTATCCCTAGTAATGACTATTTGTTTTTTACAACGTTCTGATGCCGAATACAAACCCTTATTCCCTTATAATATGCTTTAACAGGGTCTCTAAATAGGAGATGACTTTCCAAAGCATCAATTCTCCATGGGGGAAGGAGGGAATGTGCAACCTACCTGCCTTCCCTGGTGAACTGGTAATGGAGTGGTTTGGGCCATGTAATACAGATCACATAGACTGCCACTGCTGGTATATTGAAGATGATTTACTAAAGAAGAAGAAGCTAAGAATCTTCACTTAAATAATTGTGCGAATGTTCACTTTAATTATCCAATCATGTGAAAAGCATCTGCACATTACTGGGTATTCAAATTGATCAGGAACGTGCTTCTAACTGTGATCTAAAAGCCAGACAATAGCAATATTTAGTATTTTCATTTTAGTAGAGTGGGGGAAGGCTTACAAAATCGTGTCCAATGGGCGATACGGACAACATTTAAAACCTGATGTTCTAACCTCTTCTTACACTATTCCAGATTAAAATGTTTTTGACTGCAGTGACATTTTAAATATAGCAATCACAATATACTACAAAGGGCATGGTATAGCTGTTTTACAGTTCATGTTGACCATATTTTTTTAAAGGCATGTCAACAGTAATTCAAATGCTGTAAAAGAAATGCACTGTATATATGTCTCATATTTTTTAATCCAGAGTAAGTTTTAGATTGATTATTATGC